GGGCGGGGACAGCACACGGACTTAAACTCTCACGAATGAATCCTTTGTGAAGGAGGTCATCCGCTTGCCTTTGAAGTTCAGCGTGCTCAGTAGGATTCATCCTATAATGAGGCAAATTTGGGAGGGATGCCCCTGGGACGAAATTTATGGCATGTTGAATATCCCGTAGAGGAGGTAGATGATCAGGTAGGTCCTCCGGAAAGACATCTCGAAACTCTTGGAGGATCGACTGGACTTCAACAGGGCTCTCTATTGTGGAATGGGATGAAACCTCCACGACCACCAAAGCGAACATAACTGAGTCACCAACAAGTGTACGCTGAAACTCCGTAGGACTAATGATGTGCAATCCCTTTTGTTCCACACTCTTCTTCGTTTCCAGTGGGCCAACAGGTTTTGGGGACAGTGGGTTAAGATGAATCTTCTTTCCATTAAATACGAAGGAGCAGAAATTGGATTGACCATAGATGGTTACATCTAGGTCAAATAACCAAGGTCGTCCCAAGATGATGTGCCCGACGTCCATGGAAATGACGTCACACCATATATGGTCCTTATACTCGAAAAATTGAATAGGACTAAACAACGCTCCTTGACAGCTATAGAAGAGGTATTAACCCAAGAGACACTGTATGGCTGAGGGTGCGGAACAGACTTCAATCCTAGATGGGAAACAGTAGCCATCAAAATCGCATTAATGCAGCTGCCACTATCCACGATAACTTTACAGCCCTTATTATTAATCTTAATGTAAGTATGGAAGATGGCATGACGGCGCCAACCATCGGCATCCCTAGGCTGGGTAAGAGTACAACTGACGACACCGACTCTAAGCGTATGTGGGATAAGGGGACTAGCCTGAATACAACCCAAGAAGGTATCTTCACTATCCTTCGAGTCATCAAACTCTTCTAACTTAGGCTCATAAACCTGATCCTCTAGTGGCTCGTCAACTATATCTTCACGCTCTTCCAAAACTAGGGCTCGGCTAGGACACTTAGAAGCAATGTGACCAAAACCCTTACAGTTGAAGCATTGCAAACGAGAAGACGTTCTTGAAACCTCAGAACCTCTACCTTTACTATCCGAAGTAGGGGTAATATTAGAAGGAGGAAGTCCTAGAATAGACTTAGGGGATGGAGTGGATGCAGAAGAGGTTGCAGTGCGGGAGTCACTACGATTTCTGTACGGTGTCCTAGTTACTAACTCGTAATCCCGAACGAAAGAGTAGGCGCGGTCAAGAGTGATGACACCTCTAAGAACAAGCTCACGTCTAAGAACATCCCGTAGGCCTTGCCTAAACCTACTCAAGTTCATGATTTCATCCTCAACGACTTGACATCTCATTCGAAACTCGTCAAATTGAGCAACGTATTCGGTCACAGGTCGACTGCCTTGCATAAGTGCGTTCCATTGATTCAGCAAGTTGCCCCTGTAAGATTGAGGTAAATATTTTTCTTGAAGGCGGCACTTCATTTCATCCCAACTCTCAACAGGGGGAGCATGATGCCTCTCTAGGAGGTCCTCAACACTTTCTCAAAACAGTTGAGCTGTGCCAGTTAATTTCAAACTGACAAATTGTACCCTCCAATTTTCAAGGACCCCATACCAAGCAAAGAAGCGATCCATATCTCTAACCCATTGATTGAATACACTATGATCTAGACAACCATCAAATGTAGAGGCATCTAACTTAATACTTTGAAAGAGGCGCTCCTCATGGTGAGGGGGAGATAGTGTACCATGACGGTGATATTCCCGCTCACGTTCACGAGTTTGATTTCCCTCCCTATGATCATGTCTAACATGGTGTCGACCACCTTGTGGACGATGATGAGGTCTATTAATGGAAGCGTCAGAGTTTCAGCTTCAGTTGAGTATTGGGTTGGGTCAAGAGTGTTCACCCTAGTGGTTAGGGCTCTATTCTCCTCACGAGTAGCGGCTAACTCAGTTTGGACGGCCGTTAATTGATTTTGTAATTGTGCCAACTGTCGGGTGATAGCTTCAATGTGGGAAGGGTCCATGGCAAGGGTACTAGCACTAGACGTAGTAACACGACCACTACGCAATTGCATACACAGTAACACTAGCTATGTGAGGTGCACTATAGAGATCAATAAATAATAAGTGCCAAAAGTAGATTCGCAATTTGAAATTTTATTATTATTATTTATTTGTTAAAATGGGATTATGTAAAGTCCGATTCTTAGCAAGCTAATAATACTAATTCGAATAAAATAAAAAGCAAAGGTGCAAGTGATAGGCCTAGTCACGTGGGGTAAGCGGGTGAACAATGAGAGTTAGTTCACGAATTCCAATCAATAGGTTTAAGGCTCAAATTACCAAAGTAGTAGCAACACAAAGAATGAATTGATGCAATTCTAAATAAAGTAGTGGTGTCAACTAAAAAAAAAATGGAAAGGAGCAGTGACTCCCTGAGTTCAGTTGTAGCGCCCAGTATTCCAATTGGTTTGAACTGCCAATATGTGGTGCTCCAGGTATGTCTCTGTTCTATCCCTCACTTCCAGTATCTTACGCTTCAGTATGTACTCCTGTTAAATTGCTGTAGTTCTGGTCTTGCTGTGATTGGAAAACTCCAAGGTGGCTGATAGATGCTGGCTTCTGGATGTTGTGGCTTTTATTTGTAGACTAAAGGCCGGGTGGCCAGCAGTGTAGCAATATGTGGAAGGTAGTGTATGGTTTTCTGTGTTGGTAATGCAACTACCAATGGTGGCTTGTTGGCATAGTGCAGTATCTCTTGGTGGACGGTGGGTTGTGGTTTCTAGCTATGAGTTGTGAGTTGTGCAGTGATCGGAGAGAAGACACAGAGAATTAAGAGGGCTACTACTGGGGATAGAACACGGCTGCAAATAAAAACTGGGTTGGCAATCACAAATGGCGAGTGTCGCGGTGTGAAGGGGCTGTGTGAGTTCTAGGATAAGGAGAAGTGGCCGGCTTCTGGGATAATGAGAAGTGGTCAACTGATTGATGGTCGGCTGATTAAGTGATGAAGTCCGACTCGGGTGTGCAAGTTGGCGACGGTGACGAGTAGAAACGAGGGAACGGGCGACTGGAAATCGGGACGATGGGTAGAGAAGAGGCACTGGTGTTGTCAACGGGTAGGGCTCGGGTTCGGCTAATATGGGTTTGGACGGGCTGTAAGTGAGCTGGGAGTGAGATATGGGCTTGGTTGGGCTAATATGGTGTGAACTGACTGTGTTTATTAGAGGTGGGCTGAGTGAGTGTTGGGCTTAAGTTAAGGGTTAATTAGTTGGGAATAAGAAAATTGAGTCCAGCTAAGCAGTGAATTGGAATTAGGGTAATGAACAGCAAAAAAAGTGATTTGGAATGAGCAGCAAACGGCAGTAAGATGATTTTTTTTTTATTTTTTTTTTGGAATTAGGAGAGAAAACTGCTATCTTCCAACAAATCCTTTTCTTTTCTGCTGTTCGATAAGTTTTGGGAATTGGGAAAGAAGAAAATTTTGAATTGTAAGAGAAAAAAATAAAAACAAATACCCAAGATTTAGCTCTGATACCAAATTTGATGCAACACTAACAAAACAGTTAATTAAGAAATAGAACAGATTTATGGGGAGGGAGAATTAGAGATGAGAAAGAGATGGGGGATTCAATAGAAGGGAAGAAAACAGGAAGAGAGAAAAAACGCCATAAGCCACCAAAATATTATTCATTCATCAACTGAAAATTATAATGTAAAATAGGTTTAAATAATTAAGCAACCCTAACAAGTTTGGGCCCGAGCCCATACAAGTCCAAATCTTAAGTAATAGTCTAAAAGATAAATAAAGTATAAATAAAGCATAAATAAAATAAGCCACGTCCGATGTCCTCATCACTTTCTCTATTGAGGCCACAAAGGCTGCAACATGGGATGACGAAACTGACCATTTGAAATTCTTTTATGATGGACTAGAATTAGGCATCCAAGAACTGGTGTATCCATCTCTGGGGTAATGCTCTGAAAACAAGATTAAGGTGGAGAGAACTTCAAACAAGAGCAGTGTTTTAATCTCTTCCAGAAGTTTCAGAAATTTCAGTCAATGTGGTTCCAGTGACAAAGGAAGATGATAGGATACATAACTACCAGATACCTTCTAATGACAATTTTGCTCATTTGGAGGTACAGTTCAAATTCTATGGCCTCTCCTCAATGGTTGAAGGCATCCTTAGCCAGATTTCATAAACCCCGTAAAGCCAGGCATTGCAATGAGAGTTCTGGGAGGTGTAGACAAATACAGAATTTCATCCTTTTTGGCTACTGATTGTAATTCTAGTGCATTCTTTCCAGCCGAAATTTTAAATGAAGAGGACAGACTGTTACCCTAGTCAAGGTGTTTAGATTGTAAGGGGGGTATCAATTATCATACCAGGGTAATGAAATAGTTTGCTAGAGATGAGTGCTGAAATTCTGAGGAAAAGCAACTAGAAGATGTGAATATGTATTTTGATAAAAAAAAAATAATAATAATAATAAAAAAAATAAAAAAAAATTAATAATAATAATAATAAAACAAAACAACTGCGACCAAAAAGTAGAGAATGATAAGCTTTCTACTCCTAATGTTTTGAACTTTCGAATTTTCCTAGAAGCATTTTGCATTATTATTTAGGCTGAGATGGTGAAAAATGACAACCAAGAAAAATTGAGGGAACACAGCAAGAACCAGAGAGAAATTCAAGATCTCATACATAGATCTATTTCATTCTGCTCTAAATAAGAGGAAGAACAAAATAATCTAGTACAATAAAGTACAAGTCGAACAAAATAATCTAATACAATCAAAGGACAATTTAACAGTATTCAAATACCAAAGAATTCCTTTTCACCTACAGAGGCTCATAAAATTTGTTTTGTTGACTGGAGATTATGGCAAGCTTTGTGTAAAAATTATGTCAAAAAGCATTGATCATTGAAGTTGCAGAAAAACAGCAATATTGGTTGGAGAAAAAAGAGGCGAACACCTCATCACAAGGATATTCAACCAAAGAAATGATCGAATATATATTCAACCCTTTTAATGATTATGAATGCTTCCAGTGCAAGCACAATCTATAAAGTATCCAAGTCAAGTTACATGAAGGGCAGCTGTAAACTGTATTAATTTAACTGAAAATGACGATACAATTATTGGGCTATGCAAGTACAATATTGGACAATGCATTAGCCCCTCCGATCATATATAATACATCGAGTCATAATATGAAAAATTGAGGTGAATTCCCAGTGTAACATCAGCTTCACCGCTGGTGAGAAAGAGATATCCAGCCTTTCTGTAGGGATATTGAACAGCTGAGATCAGAAAATCCAACTATATTATTTGTTTCACCTTCCACGTGGATTTACCAGCTGAGAGAAAACAGCACTGGTGGCAGCATCTTCAGCATCATCAGAGTTAGCCACATCAATCATACTCACACTGTTGTCAAATGGCTCAAGTGGTGTCAACGGTATACCAGGGATATGGTTTGTACTGTTATCATCAGGTTCCGTGAGAGCAGATGAGGTCTCCTCAAGCTGAAGAGCATATTCGAGGTTCCATAAAACATCACCCATGGAAGGCCTATCAATCCCATGTTCTGCCAGACACTTCTCTGCCGTCTCTCCAAATTTTTTCAGAGAAGCTGGATTCACCTTCCCTACGAGATTTTTGTCCATAATTTGATCCAGCATGCCCTTCTTTTGCCAAGTCATTGCCCACTCAGCTATATTAACTTGTTCCCGAGGAAGAACAGGATTCAAAGCCGGTCTTGTGCAGAGAACTTCCATTAGAACGACACCAAATGAATAGACATCTGATTTCTCAGTAAGTTGCTGCCGCCTGAAGTATTCAGGATCAAGGTAACCAAAGCTACCTTTAACAGCAGTACTCACGTGTGTTTGATCAAGAGCCGGTCCAGTTTTAGATAGACCAAAGTCAGCTACTTTGGCAACATAGTTCTCATCCAAGAGTATGTTGGTTGTTTTCACGTCACGGTGAATAATACTTTGAGCAGCCCCAGTATGGAGATAGTGAAGTCCCTTAGCAGCACCTATACATATCTCAAGTCGCTGTTTCCAAGGGAGAGAAGGGAGATCTGTTCCATATAGGTGGCTTCTGAGAGGCCCATTTGCCATATATTCATAGACCAGAATCATTTCTGATCTTTCATCACAATAGCCAATAAGAGACACAAGGTGACGGTGGCGAAGCTTAGATAACATTTCAATTTCTGTCCTGAATTCAGCAAGTCCTTGCTCGGATCTAGGATTCCCTCTTTTGACAGCTACTCTAGTCCCATCTTCCAGTGTTCCCTTGTACACCCTACCAAAACCACCAACACCAAGAAGGGAGCTTTCATCAAATTTATTCGTCGCATCCATTATTTCCTGAAAAGTGAAGAACCGGCCAAGATTGGAAGAAGCTAATGAGATGCAGCTGGCTGTACCACTCTTTTGAGAAAGAGTAGACATTTTAGTCATTGTCAAAGAGTTTCCATATAAAGGAAGAGGAAGCCATGTATTTCCTTGTGGTGAGGACTTGGACCTGCGGGCCGCTAAGCAGCAATAGCACAACCCAATAATCGCCAATGCAGCCACTGCTCCACCAGCGGAGCCAATTATGATACCTATTTTATTCTTCTTTGGAGGAACCACAAGGAGAGTTTCAACGGCCGAAAGTCCAACAAAACTTCTAGCTTCATTGCTAATCTTCATGATTTCCAGGCCGTTCATGATAGCATCCATGGAACCAGAACTTGTGTCCGGACCAACACTAACAGAGAGTGTGTCTGAACCAGCAGAAGTGTTGGACACTAAATCTTTGTAGACAGGGACGTCCAAGTTTCCAGCTTGGTTTGATATGTCTAGATTCCCAGATGCAATATCAGTATTTATGTATAGATTGAACACCAGACTGTTCATAGATTTGCTCACAATATCGCAAAAGTGTACCCGAACAAAATACGTGAAATTTGGATCGACTGGCAAGACCCAAGTAATGTTGAAGTTTGCATCGACAACTTTCGCATCTCCCATGGTTTCAGCTGTAGAGTAAACCCAATTTGGTGCTATTTCAGGGGCAACAGAAGCTCCATATTTTATGTTCCAAGGGTTAACTGAAACATTAGTCGCTGAGCTGTTGACATGAAGGTACTTAAAATCATTCTCCCAAGTTCTTCCCAAAGTGTCGTTCTGAGCAGTGACCAAGGGACCGCCCATATTTAAACGATAAACGGTTTCCAGAGCAAATCCAGAAAGCCCAGTAAAATGTCCAGGGGGGGATAGAGTCACTGCCTGGTCAGGGATTAAGCTATCCGGGACAGAAACAACTTCGATTGCATTAACAAATGCAATAGAGTTATTCGAAGGAATAAAATTAAGTACCAAGTTATCCGAAGTGACATTGATTGCATACTCCTTAAACAGGTAAGTACCATTAAAAGTCTCGAAACTGAAGTTGTGCAAGAGCACGAAGTTCTCGGTAACAACTGTAATCGAGGCTGATGTCAAATTGTGACCAGGAAGAGGATAAAAATAAAGCCGAACCCAATGCCGGCCTTCTTCCTCGATCGCAAATTTGTAAGATGTCGTGCTCGTAAAAATTCGAGCAGACTGGTAAATTGGAAATGGGGCAGTGGAATTGGAGGTAGCAACAAGAGAATTTCCCTGACTTTTTAAAGAAACCGAAGATTTTAATGAATCAGGAACATAGGTATGATCATTAAAGGTAACATTTTGTGAAGATCCACAGACAAGCAAGTAGTTATCAGCAGGAGCGTACAAGGAATATGATCCTTGACCTAGAATACCTAGAACCATACCTACCCACATCACTATATTCGTAGTAGACAACATTGTAAACAGCTCAAATCCTCAAAAACCAAGATTTTTAATTTTCGATTTCAAGAAAATCTCAACTTTATCCCAAACAAGCCCTCAAATGCTATACACATTCTTCATCCCAAGATCTATAGAAAACAATGCTAAATGACAAATGGCCACTATAACAAAGAATGAACGTGAAAAGGAAACAAAAATTGGCATAAAAAATGGAAAAGGGGGTCTGAAAATTTGGAGGTGCTGTAGAATAAAATGAAAAAAGATCAAAGCTTGTTCAAGAACCTTACCTTACTCACAGAGCTAAAGACTTGTAATATGTCGTTGAATAAACGCAAAGCATTTGCCACCAAGAATGAGAACACATAACTCTGCCAATTTCAAGTAGTAGAGCTTTTTGCAGTGCGAACTGCACCAGCTCTTTCCAGGCTGTTGATTAGGCTGTCATTTTACAGAGATAGCAAAGAGAAAAAAATAAATAAAAACTAAAAAAGGTTTTGGCCCCACAAAAGGAAATTGCAAAAACTCAAATTTCCCACGAATTGTAGTCCCCATTTCCATTTGGCCCCATTCTCATTCATTTTTTTCTTCTCTCTTATGTTAAACTATACAATTTTTTATAAAATAATGTTATCGAAAAATTTCATTTTTTTTTAATTATACATTCTTCAAAAAAATATTATTCCAAACATTAAAATTTGGGGAAAAAAAAAGGACCAAACGGGCGTAATATGCAACAGCTGTTTCCCAAGAGATAATGTGTGTACCATTTTTAACACAAAAAAAAATAATAAAATAGTGGAATATTAGAGCTACATTGCCATGTTCTGCAGGTATGCTTTTTGTCTGAAAATAGACTCTGGTTTCTGTTGTTAATTACGTTTTGGGTTGTTAATTAACTGTAAGTTGCTTTGCTGGGATTAAGGATCCAAGGGACCCACTTCGACGCGGCTTTGAGATACAGATGGACCAGATATGACGGCGTTGCTAGACTGACTGGACCGCGAATCCCGCTGAACCTTATTTCTGTTACTGTCTCCTGTATTTTAACGGAATCTTGGCTATGTGACCGTTAATAGTGACGTTCGTAATGCCATCAAAATTCGAACCTTTTCTATTAAGAGCCCCACTGCGGCACATGGCAACGAACACGAACGTTCCCATCTGTTTCCCTTTTTTGATCATGTATTGTATGGAATCCAAACTTTTTAAGCACATTTTATTAAGAATTATCAAAATCAATTAAAGATATCCACCAAAGAAGGGCTGTGAAGGAGAATGTTAATGAACGTTGACCTTTTCTGGCGCCTGGCGGTAGCCACGTTAAGTTTTGGCACATGACACCGCCATTCACGGCAGCTCTGTGAATCCATTGACGACTCAACCCCGCCATTCACGTTCAATCAAAAAATAATAATAAATAAAATAAAAAATACAGAAGACTTATTTAATTCACAAGTGTGTATATATATATATATATATATATATATAAAACTACTTATACCCTTTTTTTTGCTTAACAAAAATGATTAAGTTCCGATATTGCCTACTTATTAAGCTTATGTTTGATTTAGCTAAAAATCATATTTTAATAGATTTTGATAAAACTTAGTGATATTTGTAATTGAAAAGTTGTACATCTCACGAAATGTACGCTTAAAAATGTATTTCTTTTCAAAAAATGAGTAACAAACCAAATACAATATATTTCATCAACTTTTATTAAAAATTACTAAAACTCCAATTTTTTGTTAAATCGAAGAGGGGCTTAATATCCACATAAACAGAGACAAAAAAAAAAAGAAAAGAAAAGAATAATAATAATAAATAAATGAAAAAAAAAAAGTAAATAGCATGTTCTATGGAAGAATTTAGGATAAAGCCACCTTGACCAAAAAAAAATAAAAAATAAAAAAAAATGTTCAACAGATGCTTTGACAAAATGAAAGTTTGTAAGGAGCCTGTTTGGGAGTGATTTTGAAAATTGATTTTTTGACCGTTAGGAAAAAAGTGGAGTTCACCTGTGAAATAAGAAGTCAAATATGACGACTGGAATAGTGAAATAACAGTTAAAAAATCAATTTTTGGGTGAAAAAATCGCTCTCAAACAGGCCCAAGATATAATTGGATGAAAAAATTGATTGTATTTTAAATAGTCTAATAATATGATGCCATAAGGCATTAGGTCAAAGATTATGTCAACCATTATCTTAGTGTAGCATTATTAAATAATTTATATACGTGCAGTGCAGATAGGTGAATTCACATAGTATCTAGGCAAATGAAATGGACTTAGAGAAGCACATATACATCATTGATAGAATGAAACAAGCTATGTTTTTATGATGTAAAAGTAAGGAAATTGTGTTTTGAACCTAAACTTCCAGACTTGCAGCCAAGTTGTATTTACAAATTTAGATTTTTCGAGAAGTTACAATTGAGGATGACTCTATCAACCGCCTTCTACTTCAAAGATACCTTCTGAAGCATTTTTTAGATAGCCTTCGATCAATAGGAAATGGCTTCTTTGAATGCAGTCGTCTAGCTGGCAAGGCTTTCATTTGTTTTAGTCGAGTGAAGTATACTTTGTAGTACTGGATTAACTCGAACTAGATTGATTCTGCTATGTAAAATAATGGACATCAAATTAATCAAGTTTAAGGTGCCAAAGATATAGGTGTGATCATATCACCTAGTATTTGCACTAATTCACAAATTAAACTCAATTTTGACGAAACAAATGAATGAAAATCTGTTCTAAATTCGTCGCTCTCTATACAAAAATGATATTTTTATCTGTATTCACTTCATGCATTCTAATTCATTCTTGTGACTTTATGGTGTTTCGGAATTGATGATGTAGAGCTTTTTCGAAGCCACCTAGACATTTATATAGATTACTAGTCGCTATCACGTGCGTTGCACGAATTTTGTATTTATCGTATTTTCATTAGTGTATGAATTTTAGTTTTTTGAAAAATTTTTGAAGGAATATCTAAAAATATTTTCATGATATAAGAAAATAATTGCAAATTATTTTTACAATTGTATAGCAGTATGCTATCTAGAAAAATATGCTTGTATATTTCATGTTTGAATAAAAAATATACAAACTATTAGAGTTGATATGATTGAATTGAATGTGAAGATTATATTTCTAAATTTTGTGTAATTCAATATTGTAAAAACAAACAAACAAACTATTCACATGGTGCGGAGACAGTTCAACCAAGTGCGGAGTATAAATAACAAAAGGTGTGGAGAGAAAAATTTTTTTTTTGGCATAATGCGTGTGTAGAAGAATATTTGTTAATCATGATAAAAAAAAAAATTCTTCACAAAATATAAAAAATAAAAATGCATAATAAATCTTCTTATTACGCTAATAAAATTACAATAATTTTTTTTTTACAAATAATATAAAAAAATTATTTTTATCTTCAAGAAAAAAACACATTTAAAAATTAGCAATTTCACAACATTTTTTTTAATTCTCGAAAATAGAATTATAGAAAAGGAAACAATATTGAATTAAACATTTAATACTCAAGAAATTCAATATTAAATAAATTTTATATATTTATAACAAATTATAAATCAGCTTACCGTATTTGCAAACAACTTATCGTATTTGCTCCCTACCGTATTTACAATTTACCGTATTTGCAAACAATTTACTGTATTTACAACTTACCGTATTTGCTGTCTACCGTATTTACAACTTACCGTATTTGTATTCAATTACTTTCTGGTTGAGTTGTGAATGAAAGTTATTGAGATATTCTATATCTGTCTATAATGTGCATGTATATATATTTGGCATAATCCTAACATGCTTTTGAAGTTTGAATTAATTTTTTTGGCATGAATCTTCTCTGGCAATTAGTAAAAATTAGATTTAAAATTGTGGGAATAAAATAATATTACGATAAAAATTAAAAATAACATATTTATAAGTTATACTTGATCTTTGTGAGTTTTCATAATTTAATGTGTCCACATCTTGGTTTGTTTGAATATTCTCGGAATTCATTGTCCAAACGTCAAAGGAAGCAAAAAGGGTTTTGAAAAAAGGGAAAAAGTGAAAACTTCTCCATTTTATGAAAACGTAATCATATTAAATGAATTTAAAGGAGCCTTTCTTAAAAAAAAAAAAATACAAATTTCTTTTGTGTTTTGTTGAAATTTAGATAACTTTAAGCTTCAATTAGTATTGTTTTGGTTGTAGCTGAGTTATATTACTCACTGTTTATTAAATTAAAAATAAGTTTTTCTTCTGTTTTCCCTCATTTTTGCGTACAATTATTAGTCCATCTAAAAACTTAAATTAGAAATAGAACACATTTGAATTTAGTGTTGAACATACTCCATGTCAAACGTGACATTTTCATGATTATCATATATCGATAACAATAAAACTTAACTAAAATCTCTGTCCCATCAAATACTATATATGATAACTTTTATAACCTTAATAAATTGTAAACATGCACACATTTAACTCCTATTTAAATATCATTTTTCAGAAAGAATTTTGTAAAAAATGAATTTTTTTAGAGAACATATAGTTAAAATGTAGTATAAATTTTGGGTTTTATTGGAAGTACTTGAGATTAAAAATAAGTTTGAGAAAAATTACATTTTATAGCAATGAAGTACAAACATTGACTTATTTCTTTGAATCTAGAACTTCAACAAAGTAGCTAATAAATTATAAACTAAAGTTCATATAAATCTTGGAATTATTTTAGACATCATCAACTTTATCCACATCTTTATCCACTTAAGTTGATCACCGCCAAACATAGAATAACATGAAAACCTCCTTAAAGAAGAAAAAAAAAAGCAGCAGTAGAAATGAATATGAAGAAGAAGATAGTAGGAAAAGAAGGTGACATAGAGGAAAAGCTTTGATAGAAGATAAATACATTCAATTGAAGGATGTACATTCAAGCTATGGCTTCTGCTTCTCAAGCTCTACGTCTACATATATTATTGCATATCATATTCATTAAAATCTTATACTTCAAAAATAAAATAATATATATATATATTGCGGGGAAGTCCCCGTACAGTCTGTTCGTGGACTCCGCACCAAGATTGAAGCCATACTTCACGATTTCTGTCAAGATTGCTAATGCATGAGATAACACAAGAAACATAAATAAATTAACAAGTTAATAAACATTTTAATTTACATTAAACCAGGAATATACCTCTCTATTCTCACAAAAACCCAAAATTGTGAATCGATTAAACAAAATTATAATTATCAGATATAATTGAGAATATATCTCTCTGCACCGTGCGAAGAGTGCTCTCCAACACTCCGCACAGTGCAGAGAGTTCTCTCCAACTCTCCCGCACAGTGTGAAGAGTGCACTCCGCACTGTGTAGAGAGATGGCTCCGCACAGTGCGGAGTTTTTTTTTTTTTTTTTAGTTTATATATAATA